CTTGTATAAGCTTCTGGATTGCACTGAGAATATCGGAAATTGGTATCGGGATTAGTTGTTCGTACCTTAATAAAGGGTCGGTCCCTACCAGGAAATGAATCGATAAAACTGTCTTTGAGAAGTAGAGAGACCTGAGAATGAAAGATTTAGATAGTTAGTGAGAGATACAGAGAAAGTAGTTCTTGTTACACTTTGAAGAGAGTCGCAATATAAGCAAGTACCCTATCGCTATTGGATTGAACACTTGTTATGGTGTGGGAATGTAAATCTGAGCAAAGAGACTCCATGTAATCTCTCATTACTCTCAAGAATTTAGTAGCGGCTTCTGCCTGAGAGACAGTTGGTCATAATGAAATCAGCTTAAGTAATTTTAGTTTTGGTCCAATTTTAGGCCATGCATTAGTAACCCCACTTACTTGCACTTCGTTGCATTTATAAACCGGGTGTCTTCTAGCGGTCGAGCTCTCATGAGCAAGTGTGGCGTGGATTGGAGCCAACTGAGCCATAAGTTCTCTATGCTGAGGCAATGCAGGCATATTACATATTTTCACCTGAAGGAAACATAGTTAACCTTACATGCCTTGAGAATCAACAATTTTAACAGAGAGAAAGAAATAAGAGAATTTCATGATAAGGCCACCAAACCTGATTGTTGAGGATGTTAACTAGAATAAGATTAGAGGTCTTGACCTTCCAATCAATTGGTTTACTGTGTATACCGACCTGAGAGGTGTCACAAACATGGTCCGTATGAGCAACAAGAAACATATATAGCTCATGATTTACGATTCAGCATCCACTAAATTCGGGATTTCATGGTTTATTATAGACTGATGAAAATTCAACTAAGTAACTAACCATCCTGCTATTAAAGACATGGCACAAGTTACTTAATATGAAAAATAAACTTACAAGGAAGGGAACTGGCGCCTCGAGGAAATCAAACATCCTTCCGGGCAGAACCTGAAGACAACAGGGAGAAGTTACGATTAGGATACTACGACTTGATTTGTTG